TCATCAGTTGTACCCCCTAACCACAGAGTGACCAGAAGATTTTTTTTTTTTAAAGCCTGATTTTCATAGTTGAATATGTATGTATATTGGAATCACCTGGGGATCTTTATACAATCCTGACATTAGGTTCTATCACCCAGACTATTGGTTTAATTGTTCTTGGACTTTGTTACTTGTAAAGCTCCCCCCCCCCCAGGTAATTGTAATGGCAGCCAAAGTTGATAGCCCAATCTGTGAGCTAATGGCCCTGCTGGAATGAGTTGTCAGTTTCCATGTCTTCAGCTATGACTTATTGATTTCTGATCTCACATTTTATGACTCTCATATACACAAACTGAAAAGATAGGCTTGGGACAAGTAGTTTTAATTCTTTTTGGGTGGACTTCCAGAAAAAACTGTCAGCAGTTCAACAAACACAAGTGTTGGTAAACATCTCAAGCTTCTATAGAGTGCCACCCCCTGTGCCAGAGAAACCTAGAAAGCACAGGAGAGTTCCTGGTGAGACTCCAGATCTCCCTCTTTAAAATTGGGAATTGGGAAAATTGATTTTCTTACATATATTACCTAACATTTCTGAGCCTCTATTACCTCATCTGTAAAAACTGGAATAGTGATTTCTTAAAATTTGCTTGGATGACTATCAAAATTATGTAAAATAGCACCCAGCCAGAAAAGCTAAATAGATACTTCTCCAAATAAAACAGATGACCATATTCACATGAAAAAATTCTCATAATTACCATCATCAGGGAAATGTAGGTTAAAACCATATTGAGATACCACCTTTTGCCCATGAGAATGGAGCATATCAAAAAGACCACAGATAACAACCATGATGAAGGTATGGAGAAAAAGGAACTCTTGTACACTGTTGGCTGGAATGTAGATTAGTCAGCTTCTATAAACAGTATGGAGGTTTCTCAAAAGGTAAACATAGATCTACCATATGATCCCACAGTTCCTTTTCAAGAATCTCATGAAGAATATAACAAATTCTTATTAAAAGATATATGCAGCAAGATTTATGGTAGCAATATTATGGAAACAGTCTCAATGTCCATAGTTAGGGCAGTGGATTAGGAAGATATATACACAAGGAATACTACTCAGCTATAAAAAGGTGAACTTATGCCATTTGTGGCAACATGGATAGAAATGAAGGGAATTATGCTAAGTGAAATAAGTCAGAAAAGAAAAACAAATTGCAGAATTATTTCACTCATATCTGGAATATAAAAAAACGAAGTAAAGGAAGAGAAAACACACACACACACACACACACACAAACCCTTTAAATATGACTGTAGCATTGAGACACCAGAACGAAAGAGGGCTGAGAACAAAGGAGGGAGGAACTCAGAAGATTTTAGTGGAGAATTACGGGTGCTTTGGTGGTAGCAATGGGATAATAACATATATTTGTAGATGTGTAAACCTAGACTCTTAAAACATATAATATCGTAAGTCAACATGCTCTAAATAACCATAATTTAAAAATTAATTATTGCCAGCCTACTGTAGCTGTTTAGTATTGATAGCCTTTTGTTTATTTTTATTTTTTTTTTATTTATGCATGTGAGAACTGGAGTGTAGACTAGAGGTGTGGGAGTGAGTGAGAGGATTCACCAAAGACAGAGTAGAACAGGTGAACTGACTGAAATACACTACTGATGTGAGCAGTGGTAGAGACAGGAGAGGTCTACTGTGCCACGTGGGTTAGCTCCCTGACTGGGGATTGAACTCATGCCACAGTGGCTAGTCAGAGCATGATGACACTGAGACTTTAACCTGTGCCACCAGGGAGGCCCAGTGATCACTTTTAAAATGAAAGAATAGATAAAATAGTTAAAGCTGTTCACTGATTGTGCTCCAAGTTAATGATAATTACCATATATTGAGCCAATTTATTCAATTCTTTATTCTTTATCTGCTAAGCAAATATTTATTACATGTTAACTCTGCCAATTACATTGCTCAATTCTAGAGGTACAGTTATGTACAAAATAGACATGATTCCCACCTTGAATTATCTCACACCTTAGCTAAATCTATTACTTATTTCTGGGTTCATGTTAAGCAATCCAAAGATTGATCTTGCTAGTGGGAGGATACAACTAAGAAAATGACTGTTAATCACTCACAGCAAATACTCAGGGTGCACTAGGAGGTCAAAAGAACTTGGAACCTGGTAGACAAACATGTTTAGAAAACCTGGTGAGAATATCAAAGGGAGGTTCTCAAAGACTTTTTTTTTCCCACCAATTTGGGGCAGTTTTATTAGTAGTGGTATACCTTGTGGGTTCTGGAAAACCATTGAAGTTGTGTCCCCTATAGCCTATCTCACCAGTTAGGAGAAATGCTGGGCCTTCCGTTCTGTGTAGCTGTCTATATGCTCTAGGTTGTGTGACTTACCTATATTAAAGGAACTTGTATCCTTTGCTTGTATCTGTGGCCTCTTTCAATCAATCACAATAATGCCTCTCTAATAACAATCCTAGGAGCTGGTATTATCTGTATGTTACATATGAGACTTAGGTCATTGAGCAAGTAAATGGCAAGGCAGAGATTAAGCCTGAGATCTGTCTGACTCTTAACTTCTCTTTTAAGTAGACAGACCTCAGGTGACTGTGCTTTAGATATATCAAATCTGACTGTTCAGAGAATTAATTTGAAAAATCACAAGTATAGAACAAGAAGAGCAGATGGAACAAGAAGTCAATGCTCAGACTGTTCTAATCTAATCTTGGTCTATGAGCCTTTATAAAATTACATAAGACTAGAATCCAATAAAGAACTGTGTCCAGTTTGCCTGGTTATCAATCAAACTTCCTTATATTTAATTTTATGACTTTCCATAGATTAAAGGCTTCATCATTTAGATTCCCATCTCTTCATAGGTCAGGTATATAATATCTATGGCTGAAAAGGAGACAGCAGCATATTGTAGGTGATATTACATTTCCTGAACACCATGCCATTTTCCCTATCTTCAATACAAAAATTTTTAATCTGGTGATGGATTGTGATGTTCATGTGTAGCTGGGTTCATGTGCAATACTCTGGAGTTCATGAGGAAGGACAGAAATTTTCAACATGGTATAGACTTTCTGGAGTATCCATCAAACTCACAGCAACTGCCTTTTCTATTTTCTACCCTAAACAGGAACCATGTTTATATTAATGATATATGACCCTCCCTCCACTCCACCATTTGAGATGGCCATTTAATCTAACAAGAGACAATCACATTGCCTCGTAAGGCAGACTGCATTTATTCCTTTCATTTTGCTTTCTGTATCTATGCCCTTTGCCATGTAATTTCAGTTTCTTTCACTAGAGGCTGGTCTATTATCTCTCCCTATTGATGCTGGTCTCAGCTATGCGGCTTGCCCATGGGATGGATGCAACTTGAACACAGGATTTAAATGTGCATGTGAAGCTGGATTTGTCCTCTTGAGTTCCTGGAAATTGCCCATGAGAAGAACAAGCAAGGTAGCTGCTGTTTCAAGGAGCATGTGGAGCAGGTCTGGGTAAAGCCCGCAGATCAGGGACAAGTCCACCCAAAGCTAGTCCACAGACACACGAGCAAGAAATAAATGTTTATGGTTGTATAGCTGTGGGTTATGGTAAGGGTTTCATACAGAATTATTTCAGTGATAGGTGAGTGATATATCTCTGCATAATACTTTACAAAGTAATTGGGATTAAAAGAAATTGTCTATTAGAAATTGTGGCAAGAAATATCAGAGCTTGATATGGAAAAAAAGCTGATATTTCATATCTGACATGCCCCTTTGTTTATATTTTTCTTTTTTATTGATGTAAAAATTCATATAACACAAAATTGACCATTTTAAAATGAACGATAAGCATTTAGTATATCCAGTGTTTCACAATCACCACTTCTAATTCCCTATTATCTTTATCACCTTTAAACAAAATCATATATGCCCTATTAAGAAGTTACTCTCTATTTCCCTTCCCCACTAGAACCACCAATGTGTTCTTTTATTTTTAAAGATTTATCTATAGCTATTAACTGAGTTGTGTGTCTGTACCAAACCCAAATGTTAAGCCTTAACCTTTCCTGTAACTGTATTGGAAAAAGAGCCTATAAGCATGTCATTAAGGTCAAATGAGGGCAGAGATTGAACCCCTGGTTCAACAGAATTGATACCCTTATAAAAGGTAAATAAAAAGACACAAGCTCTCTCTGCTACTTGAAGGCACAGTGAGAAGCTGGTCTTATGTAAGTTAGGGAGAAAATCTCCACCGATACCTGTCTATGCTGACACCTTGAGCTCTGATTTCTGATGTCCACTTTGAAGAAATAAGTGTCTTTTGGATAAACCTTTCACTCTATGGTATTTTGTTAAGGCAGCCTGAACTGACCAATGTACATATTCTGGATATGTGCCTGACTTTTTTCATTTAGCATTTTTTTCAGGGTTCATTCATTTGTATGTATTGACATGTCATACCTTTTTAATGACCGAATAATAATCTATCATATAGATAGTGCCTTTTGTTAGTACCCATCTTGAATTCCTTTGGGTATATATCTGGAAGTCAAACTGCTAAACTTTTGGTGGTTCTGGTACCAGGAATTCTTGGTAACTTCAGAACACTTTCAATAATTTCTTTTTGTTGCTGTAGCTAGACAATTTTCGCTTAAGCTATAGCTAATTGCTGTCATTTATAACTTAGCCTGAATTACTAATAGATAAAAAATTTCTATTTTTTCTTTTTCCTGGACATCATCATTCTTTATACTCCATTTGACCTATTCTCTCTCCTACTTCCCTCTTTACTTCAGAAGTTTGCCTTCATTCATCAGTGTCCATTTAAATTTTGTAATTCTTAGTCATGCTATAATTAAAAAAAAATAGTCTTAATACTCCTCTTTCAAAGTTTTCCATGCAGGCAGTAAATTCTGGTGACTTTCTTGATGAGATTCTGGAGTCTGACTTAATGAGACTATTGCTCAGATTACAACTTACCTTTGGGACCAGGCAGCATAGGACCTTGCATTGAGAGCATATTCCAATTCAAAACGACTCCGTAAAGCTGCCACATGGCTTCGGCCAGGTCCGCCCCGGCTCACCAGGCAATCAGAAGAGGAGGAAGGTGAGAGAGACCCGCTACTGTTACTTGATGCAGGAGACATCATCTGAGTGAAGGAAGCACAGTATCAATCATTTAATAAATCCTGCAGGCTTAGAGACATAAAATAGAATATGAATTTATTTTAACTTTCTATTGTAGGATTTCTTATATTTTAATTTCTGTTCTTTTTGGTTTGTTTCTGACTTTCCCTTTTAGCTTCTGGGGGTACCACCTGGCTTGATCCAGTTCTAAGCTGAGAGCTGGCCCATTAAACTTATGATAGTCCTACAGAAAACACAGCAAGCCCAAATCAGAGTCATAAAATAGATATTTAGAAAGCTATTATTTAATGATCAAAAGGTTCTCTGCCTGTTTCACTATGGTGTGATTCATGGCAGAAGCTCTTTAAATTGTAGCTTAAAATTTTCCCTTTACATGAAATTATTCCCTTTTTATAAAGCAGATTTATACACTTTCCCAAGCACACTTCCATTTTATAAAATGAAGGATGTTTTAATGGCTGACAAGCATGGGGTCTAAATGGAGTTGTTGTGAGAAAACTTTAAAAAATAGTTACAAACAGTTACATGTAGCCAGGACATAGAGGGAAGATGAGGAGTATAAGGGGGAAGATAATAGGAAGGAAAGAGGAACAAATAGAGTAGTTTTTTCAAATCTCTGATAACTTTTCTGTTCATGATTCTACCCAACCCAGCTGGAAAACATCATGCTTTCATAAAGACATGTATATGGTAGATGGTGTACACACACACACACACACAGATACACACACTTCTAGGTCCTTCATAGTAGTCAGGACGTTTAAATAAAACTCCCCAAATCATGTGATGTCAATGTTGAAATAAACCTTCAAACTCCAGTGATTGAATATCCCTGTGACAGGACATCTATAGAAGATCCTTTTCAAGTCAGCTTAGGGAAGGGTGATCTGTTCATTAAATTTAGGGCAGTTCTGACCATTAGAAAATCTTTCCTTAAAATAAATCAATTACTGCACTTATTTTCTCTGTTGGTCCACAGTGCGCAACACTAATCACTTTGCCCCTCAGTAGTTGAGCCCAGCTGTTAGGCTCACCCTCATTTTCTTTTCTCTGGTTTCTCTTTCTTGTTCTCACATGACTTGATTTTTAATCCATTCATCATTCTGATCTCCTTTTCCTAAAATGCATTTTGTAATTTTAATTATCTCTTTGAAAGAAACTGAGAATAATCAGGTACTATTTTTTTTAACCTCTCAGAACAAAGAGGAATGAAAACATTGTTTTGTAACAAAAAAGTTACTGCATATTCTAATGGCTAAAAACCTTATTATCCACAAGCTTTCATGATGTTCCTAAACCATATAGTCACTACTGATATTTTACTATTGCTTCTTTGGCACTGATCCATGGTGTTATATTTAATCTTATTAAATTTATACTTGTAATATATGTGCTATTATTTTGCCCTTCAAGATATTCTAGAATTCTACTTTTAATATTTACTGTCTTTCCGTTATATCATATCTACAAATGTATGAGTCTGTCCCAATGACATTGCTCTAAACCGCTGATTAAACAGCTGAAGAACAGAGAGGGCAGAATCTTTCTGACCTCACAAGTCAAGTCCCTTGAAGCCAATACTTTAATGAATACAACCCAGTTCAGCGAACAGGGGACAAGTGTGCTATGACTTGGTCAGTAAAACAAAATATACTAGCTTAGTAGATCTTACCACTATCCCTGTTTTCTGGAATTGGTTCTCAGTCCTGTTCAAAATGAAAAGATACCTGGAACTCAAGCCTTAAAATTACCTGTCAACATCAAAGACCCATACCAGAAGCTCTTGTTGGAAAGCGTTGCTCAAGACTTACCTAAAATATCAGACTTCTCTCTGCTTGAGAAAGGTAGACTTACTTCTAAAGACTGAAGCCTCCTTCTACACAAAAGATTTCCCCAATAAAATTTCAGCAAATCTTCATGAAACAGAGCTATCCATGGTAGGATACAACTGAAGACCTCTAATTTCCTGATAGACTAGGTTCTTCATAATCTATCTTTTAAAAAAAAACTCAACTAAGAGTTAATTTTGGTTGAAATATTTTTTAAGGAAGAATATTTTCTTTGGATGGTTTGGGAGTCAGACACACAATCTCAGTTTAGGGCAGTTTCTCCTCTTTTTTGTCCCCTCTCAGCCTCTGTATTTGATGTCCATGCTCTCTCCTGCAGTACTCACTTGTGTTTGGGAATATGTTTTAGTATTTTGAATTAATATTCATGTTTTAGTTTCCTTGCATATTTTCAAATGCTATCTCTTGGCCAGGTGTATAGAAAATTAAGGCAATTATAGAGAAAATTAAAGTAAATAGTTCTGTGATATTAAAGGAAGAAAATTCCATTAACCTGATTACTAACATATATCACTTGATGTAACACATGTGTGGTATAAAAGCCAAGCCACACCATTAATTTGTGCCTAATTTTAGTGGTATGGTTTTAATTTCTTATTGAACATAAGTGAATAAGTAGCTTAGTATTTTAGCTACATTTCACTGCATATAGGAACTTCTGTATAGAGAAATATTTTAATAACCATCTTTTAACATTTGTTTTACTTTCAAACTTTTACATATCAACATCTTAAGCTGAACACCTGTGTTCATGTTCTTGTTTGATTATTAATTGGAAAGATCCAAATTTACTCTGCAATTGCCTTTGCCAATTTTGCTTCACCCTAGGAACTTAATAACAGGGTAACTGTGACTGGAATTATGGACACTCATACTTTTTTTCCCCCATAACCATATTTTATTTATATTCCCCAATACCCTGGGATATTTTCAATTTTTTTTAAAGATTTATTTATTTGTGCATGCAGAACTGGGGTACAGGCCAGAGGTGCAGGGACAGTGAAAGGATTCACCAGAGTGGGGAGCAGAACAGGCTGAGGGGAGCAGCGGGCAGGCCAGGCGAGGTCTACCGAGCCATGTGGATCAGTTCCAAGGCAGGCAGGGATAGAACTCATGAGGAAGTAACTTTAGCTTCTTAATGCTGTGCTTTAACCCGCTGCACCACCAGGAAGGGATCCGATTTTCAAATTTTTAATGGACCTATTTCACAGGTTAAAGTTCTTACCTCAATGTTGCATAGACACTCTTCTAACTTGGTAACAACTTCAGAAAATTCAGGTCTTCCCTGTAAATAAAGAAAAGACATTTATTTTCCCCCACAGAATAAAAGGAAAGGCAATTCTCTTTGGATTTTAAAATTAGGTATTTGCATTTGTAAAGAATGAGATTAACAATAAAGTATATTTTTATTTTAAATACACTTGTATTGAAGTGTTAATTGAATGTTCATTTGCTGTTCAGGGAGGGATGTTGAGTCTCCCTCTGATAAGAGTTTTAAGTCAGAATTTGCAACTACATTCAGATAATGAAATAGTGGAAAGGCTTTAATTAGCTTTGCATGTTTTAAATGGCAGGATTTCTTCTTCAAAAGGAAAGAATAAAAGTGAATGCTAAAAAAACTATTAACTATCTCAGTGCCTTATAATATACTGCACAATATATCTGTACAAAAAGAACTGCTAAAACTAATTTTATAATTAGCTTCATTTTTGAAAACACTGGCTTAAATTCAAAACTATGATCAATAGAAACCTTATGACTATGCCCTATAATAAGGGTTAAGAGAAGCTTTTCATCTTCAAAAATTGTCATTAACAATATTGTCCATTATGAACCTCTATGTCACATGAGTTTGGTTAAACAAACATTCATTGTATTCTGATTATGTTTCAAGCTTTATTCTACTTGCTACGGATTTAAAAATGATTATGACTCACTCGGAAAAATTCCTGGAATTTTAGAAAATGTTGGTCTCCTTGGAAGAAATTATATGCCTCCTTTTGTCAGTTCTAAGGACTACAAAACCTATCATTTCTCTTTTTATGAAACTTTCACTGCCAGGAGGTGGAGAGCCCAATTTAACATTCAGGTGCAGTAACCAACTAATTTAGAATCTTAGTAGAACAATTTCTCCCTTAATATCTCGCCCTCTCCTGAGGACCCTGCTTCCCGCTGAGCCTTCTCTTGTAGAAGTGGTTTTCTCTCACATATTCTTTATATTTGTGAGTTGGTGGGGGTGGGGTGGAGTATCTGTGTCTTTCTTATTGTCATTGCCACTTTTAAGTCTTTTCTGCCTCTTCTAGCAGCTTATCAGGCTAGAAGGGCCCCTCGCCCTCATTCTTTGAAGGTGTTAGCTCAGTAATTATTCTCTGACATTACTCATAGGGATGTCATCTTCTGAGCAGATCATCACATGAACTGAGCTGTGGGTCCCATAGTCTTCTCTTTGCAATGATCTTGTGTTCCACCTTATCTTCATTACTTAGCCTCCTTGTTCTCCAGACCCTGTCACTAGATTCTCCATTCTCTCATTCCTATGAGGTCATCTTGTGCTCCTCTCCTTTCCATTTAGCTCACTTCTTCTGGAACTCTGAGGGCTCCAACAAACTGACCATTCAACCCATCTTGTCACTTAAGAAAACCAAATTTTTTATTGTAAACATTTTCAAATGTACCCTAAAGTAGAAGAGAATGATACAATAAATCTCATGTTCAGATCCTGCAACCTTAACAATCCTGTGTCTGCTGATACTGTTTTATCTACCTACCTACCTTCCTACCTATCATCATAATTTTTGTCCATTTTGTTTATATTTTCACTATGATCCTCTCACCTCATTTTCTCACTCTTTCCTTATTTAAATTAGATTTAATTGGCAATTATAGTCATTCCCTTCTAATACCATTTTGGTTAGGTGTTGGGTTTAGAGAATGGGATCCTTGGGTCACCTCTAAGAAAAGTTTCTTCAGAGCTCCTTTTTCAGTGGCACATGACAAGTTTCCCCACGAAGTAGAGACTTTTGGTTATATCCAAAACGGCTGTTTTATTTACTTATCTTTTAAAAAGAGATGATGATGCATGCATAGACACAAGAAGGTAGAAAAAGCTGTGTTTGGAAGGGACAGATTTGTTAAGTGGTGCCTGCACAACAAGCAGTTTTTTGATGAGAGCCACAGTTCTGAAAGGGAGCAGGAGAGCTGTGTCTTGCTAATGCTGAAATTGTATTGCCATAGTGTTCTTTTTTGGGAGAGGTTCAGTTTTTTGTGGAATTGTTAGCTATTGTTAAATTAACTATTTGTAATGTGAAGTTTGATTTGTAAGGACTGATGATTCTTTACAGTGATCTTCCATTTCCACACTCCACCTCTGGTATGCACCCCTTGGTACTTCTATAGCAGCCTGAGACTTTACACATCAGTTGGTGCTTAAGGATTTTTCATTTCTGTAGATAGTTTAGTAACTGGGTTCATCATTTTTACTCCCACCTTCAATTTCTGGTTTCGTGATGCCTCCATCTTAAGTTTTCTAGTCTTCTCCACCACTTCCATGTAAACTCAACTCTCTTGACCATCATGCATTTTGTACACCATTAGGGAAAAAAAATCTATCCTGCCTGTACTTCAAAAGCATGACCTGTACCCTTATGTAGGCCATAACTATTACCTAAAGAGCCTCATATATTTCTAGCTCACTCACTCATACTCAAATGGCTATTTTGTACTTTCTTCTTGTTCCTCAAACTTCTAGTTCCCACTACTCGGTGGACCAACTGCCTACATCAAAATCTACATACCCTGCCTTCATTTCCATTTGTCAGTGAGTTTACCTGAATATATCTGAAGTCATTTCTTTCACAGAGTACTACTGTACAAGATCTTATCCTTGCTAATCTACTCAAGGATATTGCTTTAACTAATTCTCCCTTCTTTATGCCTTCTGTGTTCCTTTTCTATTTAATTCCCCAAATATTCAAATTTTCTATAAATTTTCTCAACTTAAATACAAACAAATAACAACAAAACTTCTAATTCCACTTCTTCCATAAGCTGCTACTCGATTTCTGTTCACCTTTATCACAAAATTGTTCTAAAGAATTGTCTAAATATGTTATCTCTAATTCTTCTTTCATCTGTCCTCCACCATTGTCAGGCTTTCTCCTACACTTTTTTGAAAGAGCTCTTGTCAGGGATACAAAGGATATCAGGATGCTTACTCATTACTAAACTCAGAGGTTAAGTCTCAGCACTCATCTCTCTTGGCAAAGCATTACATACAAATAATCATTTCTTTGTTCCTGAAACATTCTTCAGGGGATTTAAGGTTACTTTCTCTTTCATTTTTTTACTCTCTCACTATTTCTTAGACTTCTCTTGTGGTCCCACTTCATACCTTTCAATCCTGGAATACACCAGGATTCAGTCTTAGGGTATCTTTTCTTCTCTATTTAGAGTTAATTTGTTCAAGATTTAATGGCTGTAAGAAACAACTCCCAAGTGTCTGTCTCTAACTCAGTACTGTCTCCTGAACTCTAAACTCACATCTGTAATTGCCTGTATTTATAATAGTCCTTGTTTCAGTAAATGACAACTCCATCCTTTTACTTCTAGAGGCCCCAGGCTGTAGACAATCTTTGATTTCTTTTTGTCCTAAGTTTGTCTTTGACACACTTTAATGATGATAACCAATTATCAGAATCCAACTACATCTCATTCTGTCTAAACCACCATCATCTCTTGCTTGTATGGTTATAATTATCTTCCAACTATTTTTATTGCTTCTGTTCTTTGAATATTAAAAGTATGTTCCCAACACACTGTCCAAAATAATTACTTAAAATGCACTTCAGGTCAATTAATGCCACTCACAAAAGACTCCGTTTCTCATCTTATTTGGGTAAAGAAAAAATCCCTTGCAATTATTGACAAGGCATGGACACCTGCTTCAGATATCCTCTGACACTCTGTCGTGAACTGGCCCACACTTTCTCTGTGCTCACCCATGAGGACTTTGCCTTGGCCATTCCCTCTCCTTAGAGTGACCAATGCTTTTACTTTTTTCCGGATACTTCTCAAATATTACTTTTTCAGAAAGATTTTCTTTGTCTACCACACGTGGCACCCCCAAGCTAATATTATCTAGCTCTCTTCTTGTTTTATTTATTACAGAGCACATTATGTATTTTCATATTTACTTGTTTATTGTGTCCTTTCACAGAATATTCAAACCATGAAGGCAGGGATGTGTTCTTGTTCACTCTCCTACCCCAGTGCTGTGAACAGTGTTAGCAGAGAAGTAGTTTAATAAGTACTTGTTGAACAAATGATCAAATAATATTTTGCTTTGTTTTGTTTCCTACTTGTTTCATTCAAGTCTTCAAATAAGTCAGGGAATACATTGTGAATGGATGGACTTTTTAAGAACATTAAATCTAAATGATGTTAATATTTCATTGGATGGTTGAAAAGGCCTCAAAATAATGGTTAAGTTTAACAGTTATTGAAAACATACAGCATTCTGTTTAATGCTCATAACACTCTGTAACATTACTTTTATACTAAACCTAAAAGGACAAAAAATAAAAAAAATAAATAACTTACCTAAGAATAATCAATAAACAATAGAGCTGAATTCAAAGCTAAGTAGAAACTTGTAATTATCAAGTTCCTTCAAATTTCTTGTCTAAGCAGCCCACTTAAACCTATGAGGAATAAATCAGTTGTAATAATGTAAGATTTAGTGCCTGAGATTTGCTTCTGCATAAGAATAGTTGATTGAGAATTAAAAGACTTGAGGTTAAATAGCTAATAGTGATGTGATTTTGGATGGTTTATTAACCATTCTGAGCTTCAGCTCTCTCAGCATCAAATTGCTTTGTAAAATTAAGAGAATTAATGTATGTACTGATGCTCTACAAACTGTAAAGTGTTTTATAAAATAACTTAATTTTAAAATAATTTATACTAATGAGTGTACCCTGGAATGTGAGCTCTGTGAATTTATGGCCAAATGCTTCAACGGTTTGGTTTAAATTCTTTGCAAATTAAAGATGCTAGTAATTTATCTGGCACCTTGGGAGAACCCAAGTTGCTTTGGTGAAGCCTCTCACTGCCCCTGCCCTCTGCCCTGTACCCTAGTTCTGTATGCATAAATAAATAAATCTTTTAAAAAATCACCAGGGCCGGAAACCGTTGTTCTTTCTTTATTTTTTTTTTAAAGCAGGAATCACCAGAGTGAGATGGCTATATTGAAAACATGAAGGTAAGTGCCAACATTATGACATGCAC